TGGGGGGGTCTTCTCCCCCCTGACAAATTTTTTATGAATAGATCTAGATCTAGATCTAGACTAGAATTAATCTACCGGTCCGAGATTTTCCATTGAGAGATATTAAAAACTGGGGAAAATCATAAATTCCTAAGGTTGAGACCTAGGCAAAGTCAGTCCGCTGGTCCGGTATTCTTCAATCTTACCTGCAGCTTTACTTTGGTCAGGGGTAGGGGTAATAGTTGGGGTAAGAGTAAGGTAGGATGGTAGGGCAGCAGCATATTAATCGTTGGGGCCAAAAAAAAATGGATCATAATCACAATGTTGTTTTGTTAGGCCAAGTGCATACAGACACTCATGTCCTTGTATGACAGTCACATTGTTTACATTATTAACTCACTCAACCCAAGACCCACACTTTCGGTTTGTCCCCTCTCCGTAGGGATTAAAAAAAAAAAAAAATTGAACAAAATACTAAATTTTAACATGTCCTACCCAAAGTTGGTACTGTAGTCTCCGCCTAAACGCATGGTGCTCGGGAGGCCTCCTTAGTGTGTGTTTTATATGGAGCGTGCGTTTTACATGAACCTTTGCAAGGGGAGGCAGGGACGCTGTCATCTCATTGCCTTGATATTCAAGTGACCTCCCTTTGGGGTGGGGGTCACTTTGGACGAAAATGTGACGACACGTGACTGTTTTGTGAAGGTTTACGTCTCAATTGAGTTAAAAAATCGTCATAATGATGAAAGCGTACGTTCGAGCGGAGCGTGCTTTTGTATGGCGTGTGTTTAGGTGGAAACTACTGTATACATTTAGGGGGCTCTCATGGCCTAGCTAGGTTAAGGTGTTTGCCTCATTCAAAGGTCCCGGGTTTTAATCCAGGTAGTGACCAAAACATTTTTTTCTCTAAAATTGTCTCCTTTCACCCCCTTTCCTGAGCAATGATCTTTCGTCTGCTTTCGTCTCCACTTTCTGCCCCCCCATCTCCTTCACCCCCTCCTATAGGCTCCTGGCTTTTTCTGCAGCCTTTCTACTGCTAATCCTTGGCTCCTTCTGACCTCTGTCTTTCTGCCACACCCCTGATCTTCTGGTAGGAAAGATCTACACCGAGCCTTCTCAGACGAGAGTGAAAAATCTCGGAGGTCCCGTGTGCAAGTGATGGAGACACACACTCACACGCGTGGAGAGGAAGGCAGTGAGATGCACACAGCCTTTGCACGTGGACATAAGATCTAGTCTAGCCTAGGGCAAAGCTACACACAAACGAAAAAAATACAAAGAGAGTCGGGGAGATGAGAAAGGGAGGCAGGCTGCGATTTCCCTTTTGCCCCCAGCTCTCCGATAATCCTGATTAATATTATATATCACGCGCGAGGTGGTATGAATGTGGCACAGTGACAGCAGGCAGTGGTACACACAGACAGTGTGTAGGCCTTGTGTGCTGTATCATGACTGGCTGTCTAAATTTAGTTTTCCTTTCCCATTCAATCACAAAAGGAAAGAAACAAACAAAAACTATCATGGCGGGTAAAAATGACAACGCCCACTTTTGGGCGACCGCTACTTACGAACAAAAGGTAATGAATCAGGAAATTTTAGACTGAAAAATCTCTGGATTATGAACAATGTCTACTTCGCGTTCAAGCACGCTTCAGTATTAAGCACGCTTATGCTTTCACCCGATGACCTTACTTAAAACAGGCATAGACTGTATCTTTTTTTTGTTCTAAATTTGGGCTTGCACTTCTGGTCATACTTAATTTTACTTTTACTTTTTCATCCTTTGTTGCCGTTAAGCATCGAGGGGAGATGCAGTTTTCTATGGTAGGCCAGCTCCGCAGCTCTTTCAGTTGTGATGTTATGTTTTCTTAGAGTTTCCTTGACACCCTTGATCCACCTTTTGCGTGGCCTTCCTCTTCCTTTATAGCCTGAGTGCTTGGTGTTGTAGGCTCTTGAGGCTGGCTGGTCAGGTGACATGCATAACAGGTGGCCAAACCATTTTATCCTTTGTCTTTCTACTTTCTATGTAACGCAGGCAGGACTCAGTGCCGATTGCTGCTCTTACTTCTTCATTTCTCTGCCTGTATCGTCTTGTGATGTTAAAGGTTTTGCGGAGACATTTCATTACGCATGCGGTGATTTTGCTTTCATGGATTTTGCTTAAAGTCCAGGTCTGGCACTGATAACATAAAAAGTGCTGCCAAGATATTTAAACTTCTTCACCTGTTTCAGTTGTTTACTATTGACATGGATGTTCAGGGGACTCTGGTTTCGGCTCACTTTCATGACTTCTATTTTTGATGTGCTTATTTTCATTTTGAATTGTCTGTATCAAAAGAAAAATGGTTACTCTTCCAATTAGCCTATGGTCTGCTTCACACAAAAGTAGTGTTTTCAGTCATGAGAGTGAAATTATCCGAACTGATGCTGTCGGCGTTAGGGTTGGAGTGTTGCGGGCGCATAGTGATATTATTGGCGTTAGGGCTGGGTGAGTTAAAGTCTTACTTGAACCATGAATTTATAGATTACACTGGCAAATGAAACTCATGGTGTGTCTATGGACTAAGCTTGTTCATTTAAATTGTTATTTTGACCATTCTGTATGTTTCAAGATTGTTGGCAGAATTAAAGCCTAGGTTAGATTAGGGCCTATTAAAAATATTGTTTAAATACAAAAATCTTTGTTGACTTTGACAGTTTGTGGTCAGCAGATTACATTTATGGTCCAAAGAACAGCATCATCCAAATACATATAATGCTCCAATATGAAGATTTTAACTGTGAAGTAGGAAAAACTTTTTAGAAATGCAGTGGCTTCATTCATGCAGTTTGCAGGCTGCGTTCACGGTGCCCTGAATCATCCACCATTGGCACAGAGGCATGACTGACACTGACACGCTACGGTCACTCAAAGTTCAAAGTGAATGAGGAAGCAGCACGGGAATACTCGCGTGAAAAATAATGCAGCAGCAGTCCGAATGCAACGGAGTTTACGGAAGGCAAAGGTATGCGCAACAAAACAGCCATGGTCGACAAGGCCTCGCTTGCTCAGTGCGCGGAACACGACTTAAATCCTTCCTTCCCATGTGCGGACCCGGTAACGCCCGACAATTTGAAAATACAAGTCGTTCGAAGAAACAAGGGAGAATGGAAGAAGGGAAGACAGGTGGGAGGGGGTGAAAAAAATAAGAAGAAGCAAAAGGAAATGGGTAGGGGGTGAAGTGAGCAAGATCATTCTTCAGTTGCAAACTACATTCAGGGCTCCGTGAGTGTAGCCACTGCGTTTCAAAAAAGATTAAAACTTTGTTGGGCTGGCCATTTTGAAATTAAAACGCCTGATTTCAGTATCATTGCTGTGTTCTATTGAGCTGTCCTCAGAGAAGCATAAATTTTGAACAAAGTAGTGCTGCAAAGAAAACTTAAGTATGTATTTGTAGGACTTCAACATTAGACGGAAAGCCTAGCTCCATGACAGACCCAGTGGGAGAAAGGAAATCAGAGGGCAGCAAAACATGAGGATTGTGAATTAAAAATGGTGAATCTAAGAGAGAATCTCGGACATGCTATAATGAGTGGAAATACTCATAATGGGGCAAACTTTTCTCTTTTAAAATTTGTCTCGTTGCTGGCCATAGTATAAGCCATATATTTCTTCTCTTCTTGCTATTAAGAATTTATACTCCTCTGCATATGTGTTGGTGATCTTCTTGAGACATTAAATTAATGCGTCTAGTTTTTAATAGTTAATAGTTTAAGTTGGATTTTGCATGGCAAAGAACTGTTTCTGTGAATGTCTATTGCTTCTTTTGTTTGGTTGAATAGGTGATTTGATAGGTTAATTTTTCGAAATGATTTGATACAGGTTTACGTCGAGATGGTTCATATATATGTGTATATATATCATATAGATAGATAGATAGATAGATAT